CTTGCCTCTAGGCAAACAGTAACTGGCAGAACCCAGAGTCAAACCCAGGTCTTCTAATTCTTTCTATTACACCATGCTGCTTATCAGATGACACAAAACTGAGAGGGGATCCTTACTGGATTTCTTCATTTCTTCATTCAAATTTTATTAAGGGTCGACTACCCACCCACACAACCAGTCAAACACAATCCAATAAGCATTTATTAAGCACTTACTATATGCAAGTCACTGTGTATACAAAACCAAAACAAAACCAACCCCCCACCAAAAAAAAAACCCAGTCCCTGTCCTCATGGAGCTTATACTGTACTGTGGAGATGTTGTTGTTCATCCTTTGAAGAGGACCAAGGGCATCTTGGGTGATGTCTTGACTTGTGAGTGAATTGGATTTAAGTGAGGTAGAGTTGCACAAAGTCATCAGCCTCACTCTCTCTTCTGAAATCTTCAAAGGCCAGTGGGAAGACAAAAGTTAAGACAACTGTCAAAAGCCAGGGATGCAGTGGATGACCATGGTATCTTTGATGCCTGACCAAGCTCTAAGTGCTCCACAGAATCTGTTTCAGCTGCCTTCCTGGCCATTGGAACAAACTCTTCCCATCCACTCATTCCCCATCCTGCTGGGGGACATCTTTACATGCTTGGGGTAGACATGCCTCTAATTCACTAGCAGGTTTGAGGTTACTCTTCACCTGGTTTAGCCTGTCTGCCAAGAAGGTTTTACCAAGTATAGTCACTGCACATGCTACAGCTTCTTGGAGCCACAGGTGAAGAGCTGGGTGGCAGGTAGACACCAAAGGTGGATCAGCAGCCCTGGAAAGGGCTCTACGGACTCTCACACCAGAGGTGCTAGTCCTCTCTGAGCACCCCCTACACTCCATATATGATAGATATGCTAAATTATTTTCCTTCTGTCTTTCCTTTGGGCCAAGTCAGGCATAATTTCCTCTATGAAGTCTTCCCTGATCACCCCAACTATAAATGACTTTTAACTGGATAAATGTCTCATATCACTTCGCTTGTACCTTTTCTATGCCATCATGATATTCTGGCTTGCATTTTAGTTATTTGGGCATCTGTCTTCTCTTCTTCTTCAGCTGCAGTGGGAAAGAGTTGGAACAGGTGGGGTTGGGGGTGGGAAAGGTATCAGAAGAGGAAGAAAGGAGTTCTAAGGAACACTGATGAAAGACAGTGGGACAAATTGGGGTACACAGAGTTATAATATCTTATTTTGGGGGGCATGAGTAGTAATCTAGTTTGACCAGTGCATAGAGTACATAAGTGAGCAGTTAAGTCTGGAGAGGGAGATCAGAGGGAAATTTTGAAAGACCTTGAATGTTAGGCTAGAGTCTGGACTTCATTCAGGAGCAATGGGGAATTATAGGAGGCTTTTGAGCCTTAGAACTATTTGATCAAAACTATGCATTAGAAACATTAATTTGGCAGTGATATAGAAGATAGATAATAATATTAATATCTTACAGCTGTTTAGTGTTTTATCTATGTTATCTCATTTTCCCCCCACTGTCCTCACAGTCTTGTGAGGCAGGCGTATGACTACTTTTATTGCTCTTTTACAGATATGGAGAAACTGAGGATCTTGAAGAAAGAAAGGGTGAGAGAGTGAAGGTCAGTTAAGTGGCAGAGCTGCGAACTTGATCTCAGGTCTCCCAATTCCATGTTCACTCTTTTATCCAATTCTATCTCTGAATTCAGACCTCTGATTCAATCTGTCATGCTATCTCATTTCACTATACCTATTGGACGGGAAGGAAGGGGGTTGGTGGGTGGGGAGAATGTAGAGACAGGAGGCAAGATAGAAGGCTATTACCATGATGGAAGACTGAGGATGATGGCCCTATGAATGGATAAGTCAGAAAACATGGGGAAAGATGCAGTGACACTAGAAATAACTAGGGCTTCACAACTGATTGGATGTGGAGAGTGAGCTCAATTTTAGACGTGTTGAACTGATTCCTGAAAAAATATACAGCACAGGGGCAACTTGGTGGGCCAGTGGATAGAGCACTGGCCCTGGAGTCAGGAGGACCTGAGTTCAAGTCTGACCTCACAGTTGCTATGGGGTGCTATTAAGTGACTTGCCCAGAGTCACACAGGTAGTAAGTGTCTGAGGCCAGATATCTCTATCTATATATCTATATATACACACATACATAACATATAATATATATATATATATTTATACAGCACCACATGGGGTGGTATAATTATTGTTATTTCTATTGATGAGAAACAATATCCCAATATCCTAGGCTTTGAGGGGAAGGGGATTTTCACGGTGGATAACTTAGCAGAAGGTGAAGGCTGCGCTGGTGATGAGCATGTGTGTCAAGTATTCCATGCTGGCAGAACAGGGTGGAGGAGGCAGAGGGAACAAACATTATGACTCAGGGAATGTGTCACTCTCCTCCTCTTTGACTTAACTGCGTGATGACTGGCCTGTGTCGGCAGAGGTGGCTGCTCATTTGTTTGTCAGATGGAAGGGGTTGGAAGAGCTTCCCAGGAAGAGCTTCAGAAGCTCTCTCAGTCAGAGATGTTACCAGTTTTTTTCTCTTAGAGCTGGAGTAGAAAAGAAAATCATCATGAGCCTAGTTTGGAAAAGTTAATTCTCAAATTGAAACCAAAGTTGCAGTGCTCACTTGGATTCACAGAATTAGCATTGGGAGAGATTTTCAAAGTCTATTCCAATGACTTCATTTTTACAGCCGATGAAACTGAGGCTCAGAGAGTTCAAGTGATTTGCCCAAAGTCACACAGGTAGTAAATGGCAGAGCCAAGATTTGAATCCAGATCTTCTGTCTCCAAATCTGTTGAGTATTTTATTGCACTTGAGGAAAGGGGCTCTGTTGTGAAAGGGCAGTACTTTTAAATTAAACCTTCTTCACCTTATTCTCTCCTTCCCATGTTTTCCTGGGAATAAATGACTCAACTTTGGAGTTACAAAAGGGAGACTCATCCTTGGGAGGGGAGAGGTGTGGGCCTTGGCAGAGGGTGTGTACCCTTGCCTGGAGCATTCTGAGATGGCAATGAGTAGGCTCGAGTTCAGATCCTAGCTGGGCTCTGCTGACTGTGTGACCTCCAGTAAGGCACTCTTCCTTTCTAGGCCTTCCTCATCTTCCAAATGAGGGGGTTGGATTTGATGACCTGTGAGGGCTTTTCCAACTGTGAATCCTAGTTTAAAGTAAATACCAAGGACAGTCTTAAAGTGAAAAAATTTCAATTTCTTAGCTTTAGTAATGTATTTATGTTATGGAGGGGGATGGCAGGGGAGAGACCGACAAAGGTTTATAGTCTGATTTTATGTATGAGCCTTAAGTCTTTTTTTTTTTTTTGGACCAGTTGGTGGAGCCAGGAGACCGCTTTCATCCTCCCTGAGTTACAGACATAACCCTGTGGATATGGGAGTTACTGGAGTGTGGTGTAAGCACAGTGAATTAGGGTCCAGATAGTTGTTGCCACTACCACTACTGATAACTCATTTGATATAACAGTTGTTCAGTGATGCTTGACTCTTTATGATTCCATTTGGGATTTTCTCGGCAAAGATACTTGCCGTTTCATTATCCAGCTCATTTTACAGATAATGAAATTGAGGTAAATGGGAGTTAAATGACTTGCCCAGGGTCACACAGCTAGTATATGTCTGAGTCCAGATTTGAACTCAATGAGTCTTCCTGACTTCAAGGCCAGCACTCTATTCACTTTGCCACCTAGCTATACTGACTTAACAATAATAGATGTTTTCTCTGTTAGTGGCAGTGCAAGTACTATTATCCCTAATTTACAGGTGGAGAAACTGAGTTTTGAACCTCGAAGTAAAAGTGACTTGCTCAGGTCACAACCTGGTCATTAGCTGAGTCAAAATTTGAACCCAGGTCTGATGACTACCATCACTTTATGATCTATTTATATATGGGTGTATATGTATGCGCATGGATGAGCATGAATGAGTATTATTGTTCTGTGTGCATTATTTGGTATGTGTATACATTAGCAGAGAACACTCACTTGTGGCATCTCCACATTGCTGCCCGAGTCACAGACAGAGCTACTTTTTCTATGAATAGGATGGATGATGCTGTTCTTGATGATGGTGGTGGTGATGATGAGACACCCATTTCCCTTGTGATGCTGCTGCTGCTGCTGCTGCTGCTGCCTTGAAGCTCCTGTAGCCTGCCTACCTCCAGACTCCTTACGTCAGGCTGGCTGGGTCGTTTCCCGAGACAGAGAGAGAGAGAGAGAGAGAGAGAGAGAGAGAGAGAGAGAGAGAGAGAGAGAGAGAGAGAGAGAGAGAGAGAGAGACACAGAGACAGAGAGAGAGAGAGACAGAGAGAGAGAGAGACAGAGAGACAGAGAGACAGAGAGAGAGACAGAGACAGAGAGAGAGAGAGAGACAGAGAGAGAGACAGACAGACAGACAGACAGAGAAAGAGAAGAAGAGGAGAAGGAGAGAGAAGAGAAACATACAGAAAGAGAGTAACGGAGAAGTGCAGCGGGAAGAGACGCACACTCACACACCAGGAGCTGGAGCCAGGGACAGAGGCAGAGTCAGAGAGGCTGAAGCAGAGCTCCGGAGCACCAGTCAGACGCCAGTGCAAGCACTTGAAGCCCGAACCGCGATCACGGTGTGCTAGGGGTGCGTCCCCAGCTTGCAGCCACCTATCACGATGCCCTCATCATGCCCCGCAGGGTTCCGAGGCTCTCTGAAGCATCCCCAGTGCAGCCGGTCAGGCTGCTCGGGTCCGGAGCGCGCCCGCTGAAGTTCAGCGGGGCGGCTCGGTGCTGGAGGGGGAGCGTGGGAATCCGCACGTCGGGGAGGCGGCCCCGACTCAGCTCAGCCGGCCCCTCTTTGCGGGGAGCGGGGTGACCCGCGCCGCCTCACCATTACTTCTCCAGGAAAAGAGGACCTGGTCGCTGTCGCCTCCCGGCTTTGGCAGAGGCGGAGGCGCGCCTGCCTGGCCGCCGTCGGCGTACTGCTGGCCATGGCCCTGGTGCTGCTCATTGCTGTGCCCCTTCTACTGCTGCAGGCTGCACCCCCAAGTTCAGGGCACTACGAGATGATGGGAACTTGCCGCATGATATGTGACCCCTACAGCGGGGGACCCGGGGGAGGGCCCGGGAGTCCAGGCGGCAAATCGGTCCCAGGTCCCAGCACAGCTGCCCTGGAAGTCATGCAGGACCTCAGCGCCAATCCTCCTCCACCGTTCATCCAGGGACCCAAAGGAGAGCCTGGCCGGCCGGGGAAACCAGGACCCCGAGGTCCCCAGGGAGAGCCAGGACCCCCTGGACCAAGAGGGCCCCCGGGAGAGAAAGGAGACTCAGGAAAACCCGGGATGCCCGGGTTGCAGCTGGCGGCGGGCGGGGCAGGCGGGGGCAGCGTCGGGGCCATTGGTAGTGGAGGAGTAGGAGGCGGCGGGGACGTCGGAGAGGTGACCGGGGCGCTGAGTGCAGCGTTCAGTGGCCCCAAGATAGCTTTCTACGTGGGTTTGAAGAGCCCCCCATGAGGGCTATGAAGTACTGAAATTCGACGACGTGGTCACCAACCTGGGCAACCATTACGACCCAACTACGGGCAAGTTCAGCTGCCAAGTGCGAGGGATCTACTTCTTCACCTACCACATCCTCATGAGAGGCGGGGATGGTACCAGCATGTGGGCAGACCTCTGCAAGAACGGGCAGGTCAGTCTCCTTCCCTTGCCACCCACTTTCTTTTCCCTTCCCTCTTCTCCCTTCCCGGGTGCCCCTATCGTCCCGGTCCTCAGATTGCGAAGCCCGCCTCTGCCCAGGACAGTGGTGCATTCAGAACGCGTCTCTGCTCAGGCCCTTGGCCAGTCAGGGGACGCTTCTTTGGGATCCCTATTTTGCCAGAGCTTTTTGGCTTGCGTCTCCAGTAAGTGTGAGATTTGCGAGTGCTGGAGCCTCTGCATACCCATGATCACTCTATAAGAAACGACTTTGCGGGCCGGGCGCCGCCTATCCTTCTACCTCAATTCCATAGCCTGTGGTCGGGAAACCCTTTCGACTTGAGGTCACTAGATTTGGCTAAATGGTCAACTAGTCCTCTTGTCCGGAGGTCCTTCTGTGCAGGGTTTCTTTTTCCTCTAGTCCGGGGAGCTTTACTCTGTCCCCTCGAGCCCCGGAGCTTCCCTCACCTTTCCTCCTCCAACCCCCATCCCCGAAATGCCCGACTGAACAGAAGCAGAAAAGAGAAGGAGACCCAGGAAGAGTTGCTAAAGTTTTGGGGGAAAACCCTTTATGGACTGGGGTATGGGAAGGTCCTTGGTAGGAGGGGGAGGCGCGGGCTCCAAGGGGTAAGGGAGATGGGCAACGGGAGAGAGCCACAGAGGCGGGGGGAGGGGTAAAGGGGCGCCTCACTCCAAGCAGCCCCCACGGGCTCCGTCTCCCCAGGTCCGTGCCAGCGCCATCGCCCAAGACGCCGACCAGAACTACGACTATGCTAGCAACAGCGTGGTGCTGCACCTGGACTCCGGGGACGAGGTCTACGTGAAGCTGGACGGGGGGAAAGCCCACGGTGGTAACAACAATAAGTACAGCACTTTCTCTGGCTTTCTTTTATACCCCGATTAGGGAGTGGGAGAGGGGACCGGCTCATTCCACCCCCTTCTCCTTTTTCAGCCGGAGCTCTGGGTGCAGCTCTTTTCTGCAGGACCCTTCACTGCAACTCGTCACTTTTCAGTTGGTACAGAAACCAAACCACATTCCTCCTCCACCTAGTCAGTCAGTCCCCACTCCCCTAAGCCTGCCATCAGTGTATCTGTAATCTCACTCGCTCGCTCCGCTGGGGCCCCAGACAGAGTTCTGGCTCAGGATTCGCTCTTCGTCGCTTGGGGAAGGAGAGGAAGAGGGAGAGGAAGAGGGAGAGGAAGAGGGAGAGGGAGAGAAAGGGAACTGGGATGGGGTGTAGGATTCAAAGGTACCTACCTACGTCCTTACAGAAACTGTGAAAGAAACGGATGAGACTGGACAAGGCCGGGCAAAGGGAACTTCTTTCTCCCTTCTTTACTCGGTTCTGAAATCCTTCTGAAATGGAATCTCCTGGGACCCCTTTCCTGGGATATGGGCCTAAATCGACACTTATTTGTAAGGAGCTCTGCAAGGCGTCATTCTTTGTGAAATGAAATAGTTGTGCGAATGTCCGTGTTTGTCCGCAAAACCAAACCAAACAAACACCAACAGAAACTCAGCCAACAAACAAACCGCGCCTCATTCAAACTGTGAAACATTAAATTGTGTTTTTTAGACAACAGCCTCCTTTGTGTCTCTGTCAGAGTTACTTAGCTAGCCCCCTTTCCTTCTCACTCTCAGAGCTCCCTTTTTCATCCATGGACGGGAGGCCATAGCTCCAGAATAACCCCTATCTTGCCCACCGCACCCCACCCCACGACTGTTTCTCTTCTCTTTTGAGGAGAGGTGGTGTGAGCTACAGAGGAGAGGAAGGGATCCACAAAGCAAGGACAGAGGCAAGTCATAGATTAGAGGACTGGATGGGTTTCGCTCTAACTTCCTGGATCTCTTGGATGTTTACCTCAGCACCTGTTTTTAAGAGATTTCTCCAAACAGGTGACTATTTGAAACCCATCATAGAAGGGAGTGGGACGACATCGCTTCTAGGGTCCTTTTCAGATTTAAATCTGTGATCCTATGAAATGTAGTAGGTATTTTTACACCACAAACTATTCTAGTAAGCTCCTGAGGCCTGCTGGATGTGAATGATAGACTCTGAGATAATCGGCCTGATTCCAGGGAAGAGTAGCCAACCTGCATTGTTTCCAGTCCTGCAGGCTGCCTCCCCATCTGCCTTTGCCATCTTGGCCCTACCTTTGTCATCTTGCCTGGGATTACCTTCTTATTCTGTGGGAGAGAGTGAAAAAGAGTAAAGGGGAAAGGTCGATGGCTTGTGATTGATGATCAGGATGGGAATAAGGAAAACAATTTTCCCTCTTCAAAACTCGGGCAATAGTAGAGTACTTGTTGGTAGAGCGTTTGTTTTTCTAGCTGCTTGGGTAGAAAAAGAAAGTCTATCACATACCTAGAACCACATACACACACTCACACACAGCCCACACTCATACTAGTTTTGCCTAAACATGTTAACCAAGGTAAGATCCCCCCAAACATTTTACCTCAAAAATCCCTATTAAGGAAATTAGACAATGCAAAGAGTTTTATTATTATTTTTTCTTGTAATGGTTGAATTCGGTCAAGCACCATGCTATTTGAAAAATAAGCTTTTTGTAACTTGTCCATACTTGTTTAACTGAATTCATTCAGTTGTTTTCAAAACAATCAGTTTGATTGAATTCTCAATTTACAAAAAATGTGTTCAGATTAGAGGTTTGGTGTAGGCATTTTGTACCAATCCTTACGGGTCCCAGAAATAGTTCTATGTCACTTGAATGTATAAGAGGGCTGGAGGTGGGGGATGGGGAAAAGAGAGGGAGGGACCAGGGTTCCTTAGGGCAGTATCTGCAGATACCCCAGAATATTTGTGGTCCTGGTGCAGAAAATGCAAAAGTGTTTGTTTATGGTCTGTAGGTAGACAAGAATGCACACTAAATGTATGCATACATGGAGCAACTCTAAAGCGATGGAGTTGATTTTCTTGAGTGCCTTAGGGAAATCTGTCATCATGGTTACAACCTTGTCCATATACATATATGCACACAAATGCACACATATATTTTCATGGCAGCTTCTATGCCTGATGTCCCTATTTTGGCATATATTAATTCCAGGAGGACGCTAAAAGCTGTGATTACCATTTAAAAGACAATTATGCCCCCTGCCTAGCTAGTTTCCTGTTGACATTCCTTTTTATGCTCTGGTTTATTTCGATAATGTTTTTATTGTCACTCACTTGAATATGAGTGATGATTGCATCCTTTTTGAGTCCTGAGCTGGAAACCTCACTGAAAGCTAAAGAAAAGGAAACAAAAAGAACCACCCAAGCCAAACCCTCAAACTCAGCCCAGCCTGCTAACGAGGACGTGACAGGGAAGTGGGGATGGGTGCAGGGAGGGGAGTCCATAAGCAAGTACATGTGTTGTACACTTATCAGTCTCCGATGCTTTGTCGATTGTATCATTCAGAAATGAGATTAAAACCGAATGTCTGAGACCCAAATGAAGTCTAATTGCTATGGATCTGCAATCCCCACTGGTTTCCTAATCCTTTTTGACTTATTCCTCCCCTTCCTCCGATGAGATGGAGCTTAGACACAAAGCCCTCGGTTTAAATTTCAAAAATTAAAATTGACATGCAGTGGTGTTCCTGGGAGCTGGGAGGAATTTCTAAGGAGGTGCCCAGGCTTGGCTTTATCCCTTGCATTAAGAAGCAATTTGTACTTCTAACAAAGACCTAGCCATTCCCCTTTGGCAAAAGGGCAATGAAGATGGCTTGCGAGGGAATCACTGTTCACAATTCTTAAACAAATTTGAATCCGAGATTCTTGAATCTGTATTCCCCAGTGCAGCTGAGACTCCTCGCAATTCTAATGTCGGAGCTGGCAGAGAGAAGCCGCCAAAGGTGTCAGCTGCTAAGAGGATGATAGATTGATGAGGCGATGGGGAGGCACAGGCCTGGGATGGCACTCTGCCCTGGCAGTGATCTCGGCATCTGCACATTATCAATGTCACGGGGAGGCCTGAACCACCCTCACAAGCCGTCTTATTTTCCACTTATCTCCCATGCACTAATTATTGGGCTGGATGAGTCCCTGGGAAGGAAGGAGAAGGAGAGAAAGAAAATGCATTTTGCTACTGCAGAAACAACTTCCCCACATGATGCCATGAACAATTGCCCCCCTTTTCCTCCCTCTCTCAGTAGGGCTCCCCTGATGGAGGTTTCTCCTTCCTATTTGGTACCTTTGGGGGAAGGAGAGAAGTATAGGTTTCTCAAGCTTGAGTTATTGGAGTCTGAGGTGAATAGGTGATGGGTGAGTTGGTGGGAAAGAAAAGAAGCAACAGCAACTATCTTTTCAGTGATAATAGTGGGTGTGACAACAGGGACAGAGTAGATGAGGGATCAAAGGAGACCCTTTTTCCAGAGGAATCATTATCTTTTTCTTCAATTGAAGGGCTCCCACATCAGTATTAATACCTAGCATCCATATGGCCCTTTATGTATCTTACATCTATTGTCTCATTGGAGTATCACAACAGCTTTGTGCAGTAGATAATGAAGGTGTTGTTATGTCCATTTTGCAGGTGGGGAAATTGAGATCCCGAGGCCCATTGAATTTGGAGTCAGAAGACCTTGGTTGAGATCACACAGCTTTGCTCTTTACTACCTATGCTGATCATGGAAAGTCTCCTAAACCTTTTGGGCTTCAGTTTTCTCATCTGAAAAATGAGGGTGTTGGACTAGATAATCTCTAAGGTTCTTTAACACTAGGAAACTATGACTTACCCAAGGTCACACATCTAGTAAGTGTTAGAGCAGGAATTTAAAGCCATGTCCTCTGACTCCGAGTTCAGTATTCTCTTTCCCAAACCACCCTGCTTCTCTACTAGCTTCTTGGCTATTCTTAAGCAGGGAGGGTAGATGAGATATAGAATAATGGACATAGTCTTTTAGACTGACCTTGGAAGCCATTCTCCAGATCCCATGTTTTATCCTCAAGGTATTTGCTTAGAAGTCACAGCATGACTTAGTGGATAGGATGAGATATGAAGAAGTTCCCTCTCCTAGAAGGTCTTCAAGCAGAGTCTGGACAACCATGTGTAGGGTATGTCATGGGAAAGATTCCTTTTGTGTATGGGTTTGGCCAATGAGGTCCCTTCAAATTCTCAAATTCTTTGTTGATGTGAGTGTTAGAGTAATAAAAACAGCTGGCTTCAAATTCTGTTTCTTGCTGACTAAGTGATCATGGGATAAGTGGCTGAACCTTTCTGAACCTCGGTTTCCTCATCTGTAAAATGAAGATATGTGTACTTGTGTTCAGAGGGCTATTAGGTTTAGATAAGCCTACATATGCACACATATATATGTGCTTTGGAAATTTTAAAGCACTCTCAAATTGTCAGCATTTTCATTATTACTCCTGAGTTCCCAAGACTGCTTTTACTGGGCATAGCCATATTCTCTTGGCTTCAAATAAGAGAATGCCTTTTTTTTTTAATTTAGTGAAAGGTCAAGGCTATGTCTATGTGGCATAAAGGGATGTGAAAATTTTTGAACTATTTAGTTCATTTAATCCATGTAGACAACCAGATTAGGAAGTCTTTTATAGTGTAGTCCAGTCACAGAAGTCTAAATGTTCCTATTTGATTTTCTACAAAGATCAAAGGTACCATATAAGTGCCAAATCTCAGCTTTTTTTTGTGTGTGCTACAAATACGTTGCTCTTATAAAGGAAGATCTTACTTTCTTCATTCAATTCAAATCAACATAAATTTATTAAATGGCTTTGTCTTCTAGGCTGGTCACTATGGTAGGTGCTTGGGATAGAAAAAGATATACAAACTTGTACCTGCCCTCAAGGAGCTTATATTTTAGTAGAGGGAATCAACTTGTATGCAGATGAGTAAATATATATGTATATATATATTATATATACATATATATAT